TCGACGACATCATCATCAACATCAACACCATTGTCAACATCATCACCAGTATCAACGGCAGCATCAGCATCGGCGTCGGCATCAGCTTCACCGTCATCATCCACAGCATCATCAAGATGAAAACAATCATCATCATCATCATCAGCTCTATCATCATCATCATCATCAGCAGCATCAGCATCATCATCATCATCATCATCATCAATATCATCATCATCATCATCATCATCATCATCATCATCATCATCATCATCATCATCCATACCGAGGCAGGTTAACAGGATGAACCAGCCCATCAACTTCCGAAAATCCGAACGGATCTCTTGGGTCTACGTTGACCCCCCTCTGAGCGCCAGCGGCAGCGCCGGAGGCGCCGCCAAAGGCGTCCAGCGCCGACCGAAGAAATCCGCGCGGACATCCGAAAATGTATGCTAATGTAGTTTCCCTGATCGTGGTTAATGCTCTCCCAGACCTCCGTAGAATGGTAAGACACAACGGGCACGACCGAGCTGCAGCGCAGCCGCCTTCCCCACAAGAGCTGCCAAGGACGCCGTGCGCGCATGAGCCTGCAAGGAACCACCACCCATTGCAAAAGCTTATTGTCGGCGACACCTGAGAGAAAAAGAGCTTGTTCAGCGCAGTACCGTCAAGCATGGTCTATACATGAGGAACACCGGTGGCCCCAAAAATGCGCAGATGCACGAGGACTGCCAACGGAAAACTTCTGGAAGGCCAAACCGTGCCTCGGGCCCCTTCCAAAATCAAAGTGGTCATTACTCCAACGCTCGTACCCTAGTCACGATCACCCAAGTCATCGCCGCCACCGCCGCCATTGTCACGCCAATATCCGATCAAAACCAACCCAAGGAATCCCTCCCGGCTTCCGTCATGGCAAATGATATGTTCTGGGCTGCGTCCAGTCGCAGCGAAAGAGACATCCATAAACAAAGAACAACAACAACCTTCGGAAAGAAGACGGCGCGTCGCCATCATCCGGAGACCCCCTGACAAAGCCGGACCTCCCTCCCATAGGTTTGGTCAAGGTTGTCTTAGGCCGCCAGCGGAGGCACGAAGATAATCGAGCGCTGTGTTTCGCGGTTTTGACAAGGGATTCGCTTGTCTCTGGGGACGTGGTGCGAAGGAACGAAATCCCTTGCCCTTTGGACAGTGCGAAGGCTGCATCTGCTGCTGTGCGAAAGCACACAAAAACAGTGCGCTTCGCGCAGCGCGAAACCTGGACCTGCTGCTGTGCGAATCCCAAACAGACAGTGCGCTCGGCGCAGTGCGAAAGCTGGATCTGCTCCCTTGCGAACGCGCAGAACAATGACTACGCTTCGCGCAGGCGCGAGGGTTGGATCTGCTGCGCCAGTCCTCTTTGATGGCCTCGAAGTTGGACTCCACGCCCGCGAGCCAGGAGAACTCCTGCGCGTGGGGGTGAGCCCGACGGGATGGGTGTGCGGGAGCGTGGGCCTGGACCGGCGGGGCGTCGAACCGGCGGTGCACAGAAATAGCAAAGCGGCCAGACCGAGGGCGAAACCGAAGCAGACCAAAACCGTCGTACCGAAAGCAGCCCAGGAGAAGGAGGAGAAGGATGAGGAGGAGGACGAGAAGGACGAGGAGGACGAGGAGGAGGACGAGGAGGAGGAGGAGGAGGACGAGGAGGAGGAGGAGGAGGAGAAGGGGGAGGAGGACGGGGAAGAGGGAGAGGGGGAGGAGCAGGAGGACGAGTAGGAGGACGAGAAGGAGAAGGAGGAGGAGGAGGACGAGGAGGAGGACGAGAACGAGGAACACGAGGAGGACGAGGAGGACGAGGAGGAGGAGGAGAAGGACGAGGAGGAGGACGAGGAGGATGAGGTGGAGGAGGAGGAGGAGGAGGGGAGGGAGAAGGGAGGAGGGAGAAGGGAGGAGGGAGGAGGAGGAGGAGGGGCATCCGCGCAGTAACCGACCGAACATATACGACCAAACGCAAACGCCCGCGGAGCGGCTGAGCCGGCCGAGCCGCCGACACCCTCGACGACGACGTCGTTTCAAACATTCTCGCGCGTTCCTGGGGGTCCTCGTCGCTACCAGGGCTGGACCTGAACGTTGTGTTTCGATTAACTCTCGTTTTGTTGCTCGACCTGCTTTCCCGCACCGCCCTGCCACAACGAAACACAGAGCACAGCCGAAGTCCAGCAACACAGCGTGCATGGGTCCAGCCTTGGTCGCTACGGCTGGACGCGGCACGACCAAGTGGTCGGGGCTTGGGCGTTGCTAAACGGGGTGGCGACAAGCAGCGGGGGGGGTAAAGAAAGGCGTCTGGGCGTCGCTGCACGGGAGGCGGAGAAAAGGAGCACTTCTCGCTCCCTAAAGTCCCCATCCTCCTCCTTCCCCTTCCTCTCACCAACTCCCAACTCCCTCTTCCCTCCTCCATTCTCCCTTCTCCTCCTCCCTCCTCCACCCTTCCCCCTCCTCCCTCCTCCCTCCTCACTCTTCCCTCCTGCCTTCTCCTCCTCCTCCTCCTCTATCCTCTCACCGCCTCCCTCCTCCCTCCTCATCCTCCGTTCTCCCTCCTCCCTCCTCCCTCCTCCAACCTCCCTCAAACATTCTCCCTTCCCCCCCGTCCCTGCTCCCTCCCCTCTCGTCCCTCCCCCCTCCTCCCTCCTCCCCCCTCCCTCCTCGCTCCCTCCTCCTCCGCCTTCTCCTCCTGCTCCTCCTGCTCCTTCCACTTTCCACCTCACTCCTCCTGTCCCTCTCTCTCATCAACTCCATCCTCTCGCCTCCCTCCTCCTCCCTCCTCTCATCCTCCCTTCCTCTCACCAACTCCCTCCTCCCGCCTCCCTCCTCCACCTCCTCCTCCGCTTCCGCCTCCTCCTACTCTTCTTCCTCTTTCTCCTCCTCCTCCTCCTCCTCCTCCTCCTCCTCCTCCGACTCCTCCTCCTCCTCCTCCTCCTCCTCCTCCTCCTCCTTTCTCTCACCACCTTCCTGCTTCGTCCTTCCTCCATCCTTCCTTCTCAATCGTCCCTATTCCTCTCCCTCCTCCTCTCTCTCCTCCCTCCTTCGTCCTTCCTCCTTGTTTCTCACTCCTAACTCCTCCAGCTCTCATTATCATCCTCCTGGTCCTCCTGCTCCTTCCTGTTTCCACCTCACTCCTCCTGTCCCTTCCTCTCACCAACTCCCTCCTGCCACCTCCCTCCTCCCTCCTCCCTTCTCCCTCCTCACTCCTCCCTCCCCTCCTCCTCCTCCTCCTCCTCCTCCTCCTCCTCCTCCTCCTCCTGCACCGCCTCCTCATCGTAATCCTCCTCTTCCTCCTCCTCGCCCCTTGCTCCTGCTCCTGCTCCTCCTCCTCCTCCTCCTCCTCCTCCTCCTCCTCCTCCTCCTCCTCTTCCTCCTCCTCCTCCTCCTCCCCGTCCCCCAGCCCTCCTGCCCTGCCCTGTGAGCTTCGAAGCCTCTGCGAAGCATGGACTCCCGGGCCATCCAACGTCGCGCCGCGCGCTGCGCCAGGGGCAGCAGTCTGCGCGCGTTCGCGCAGCCGTCCTGGCTGCGGGCAACTCTCCGGGCCAAACGGAGGCGCGCAGTGAGACTCGCGCCTCTGCGGGCGACCAACCAAACGGGAGGGGATCTAGGCAGTGTCAGGCGTTCTCCAGGAAGGGGTATCCCTGAACGGAACTTGGTGGTCGTATCCTTGTTGTTGTTGTTGTTGTTGGTGCCCCTTGTCCCACGACTTGCCCCTCCTGTTCCCTCCCTCGACGTCCCGCCTTCCCTCCCATCCTTCTCCCTCCCATCCTGAAGATGACCTCCAGTATGCCTCATAGAGGCCCCAAGACCGCCACGAGGCGGCTGCCTTCCAAGAGTGCCCCCGAGAGACCAACAGTGCCCACCACATCAGCATGCCTTCGATAATTCTCGCAGCCGCACCTTTCTTGGTTCAAGTGGGCGTCGGGGGCCTCCAGATAGTTAGCTACCAGATGGCACAAGAGGGATCCAAGAAGATCCAAGAGAGGCCCCAAGAGGGCCCCCGAAGCATCTTACTTCATGCCAAGAGCTCTCCGAGAGGCGCTACCAGATGGCACAAGAGGGATCCAAGAAGATCCAAGAGAAGCCCCAAGAGGGCCCCCGAAGCATCTTACTTCATGCCAAGAGCTCTCCGAGAGGCCTTCCAGAGACAACTGGACTGGCATCCAAGGGAGAGTGTCCCTGGCGAGGCCAATGCAGGATACCCGCGATTGCCTCTGCGGTGACCCGAGAACGCCATCAAAGGGCGTGCGCCGAGAGAGCCCCAATAGAACCCTGTCTGCTCCTGAAACTGCGTTTCAAGAACAAACAACTGCATAACAATTAGCTTGTATTATTCGGCGTTTCGACATTGGGCGGAAAGGGGTGGGAGGCGGGGGGGTCTGGCTCCAGACCTCTGCTCAGTGCGACTGCTTGCAAGAAGGCTGCCTCTGGGGGAGATTCCACCCGCTCGAAACAGGCGCCAAAACACAGCCAAGCTCTACTCCAGGGGGGGGGAGGGGGGATTTGAGCAGGTACCGACCGCCCCGGCATTCCTGTAGGCCTACCATGGCATGTTCTTAGAACCCCAACATGTGCCAAGAACAAGCAACAATGTTCTTAGAATATAAGTCCGATGCGTTAAAACAGGACAGTCCCAGCCAGAAATGTTCAGACAACACTTCGTGGAAATCGCGAAACGTTCTTAGAACATTGGCTGGTAGCCCTATAGACACGCCAGGACGCTCCGCCACTGCTTCAATTGGGGGCCCGCGCCGATCGGCAAACCAATAAATCAAACAACGATCACCGAACTCTCGGCACTCCGCGCGGACTCCTCGGAGCGGCGCGGGCCACTCCTCCCTGGCGCACGGGGCGCGCCAGGGGCGGCGCGGCGGCGCCAGAGGGGCCAGCGACGATCCAAGACAAATTCGCGCGGAGCCCCGAAAACGTATGCTCACGCATGCTGTTTCTGATTCGGCTCCCCAAACAGTTCCAGTGCAGTCCGCTAAAATGGGGTCCCACTGTTCGACGGCACGCACACGGGGGTGGGGGGGGACGGGGAAAGGCGTCCTCGAAGGAGGTTGCTTCCTAGGCGCTGGCACTGCATCTACAGACAAAGCCCGCACCTTCTGAGAAGCAGGGGTGCATATAAAAAGCCCCCCCTCCCCCCCTCTGCGGCAGGAGAGTCCAACGTCGAACCGATAAGTCCGATCGGCAATCGGCATGAATCGTACCGGCGAATTCGACAGCCAAGTCAGGAAGACGAACCTGAGGCCACCGGGAGGCTAGCAGAGCGCCCTTGAGAAATCAGGATACATTTCGGAAACCGAAGTCGACATCGAATCGGAATCGGAATCTATCGAAATAGAACCGAACCGAATCGGATGGGGTCGAACTGAGCCCCGCGAAACTGCCCCAGTGTATTTCGCTCACATGGGGCCCCGATGTGCCCCCAAGAAGCAACTGTGGAGGGCTGCTCGGGATGGCCCCGACTGCGATATGCTGAAAGAACCACGGACCCACTCCGTGGTGGCACGCAACAAACTCTGCCACGCGGGCGTCGAGAATCGATGGGCCAATACTTGAGTAGGGGATCGACTGCAACATTGATTTGGCCCCGAATTCCGTTCTGAATCGAATATGCAAACAGTGCGGTGTTTGTTCAGGTCTACGAGCAGTCTGCGCATTCTCCGTGTCGACGGGAAAAAAATATTTGTGTGTGTGCGCGTGTGTGTGTGTGTGCGCGTGTGCGCGTAATGTCTGCGAGCGTGTGCGCGCGTGTCTGTTGGCGAAGCGTCGCCGCCCAGTCTGGGGGGCTCTCCAAGCGACCCGGATCGGCGGCACTGGCCGAAGGCCACTGAATACTACGCAAAAAATTCTGCGGTCGATCCCCCACTCGAACTGCCCATCGGTCGGAAGATGGGGCCAGGCACGTGAAGTGGGAGGGCGCTGGAACCAGACTGGGCCTCCGCCCGCAAGGCGAAGGAAACGGGGGACACCCGCTCGCCGATGGACGCAGAGGGGCGCCCAGCACAGGCTGCAATCGAGGGGTCCAAACAGCAGGGGTCGACCCAAGCAGGTGCTCTTCGTGCTCGTCGTGTCCTCCACTCCGCCCTCGCCGCAAAACGGGGTCGAGGGGACACCGGCCCACGGAGTCGCCCGAAGACCGTCTAGGTCGAGCCCTGCCAACAACAACTGCGTTCAACGACCGATGGCCTCCGAGGGGGGGGGTCTGCAATCGACTACCCCCCCCTACCGCCACAAGGGGCCCCCAGGAGCCCCCCAAGAGGCCCCAGGGGAGCCCAACACGCCGCCAAGGAGCCCCAAGACGCCCCCAAGAAGCCCCCAAAAAGCCCCCAAGAAGCCCCCAAGACGGCCCCAAGAGGCCCCAAATAGCGCTCCAGGGCCGGCGGAATGAGCGAAGCGATGAAATAACTGCTTTCAACGACCGATGGCTGCCTCTTCTCTGTCTCTGCGACCTCCCTCCCGGCATTCCTCCTTCCCTCCCACTGCTCTGCGAACCTCAGCCCTGGCGAGGACCTCGCACTCTCTGCGACCCCGCCCAGCTGTTCACCTCCGCCGTACCCGAGCCGGCATCCGAAGATGCGACACATCGAGGGAGTCTACGGGGGGGGGCGTCCAAGAGGGGGGTGTGCAAATGATGGCTGGCTGCACGTGCGCGGCCCCGGGGGGGGGGGGCTAGGGACGTAATGAAATCCGACGAAGCGCCATGAGATCTGGGGGAATCTCATGGCCCACGCCATGATAATCATCACCCCCCTCGCTGCCACCCCCGATGATCGGACACAACACCGTTTCTGGGACGAGGCCCCCAGGGCCTGGCCAACAACGCAAACGCCCGCCCAAGACTGGATCTGCCGCCGCCCATGGATGCGGGATGCCCCGTCCCTCCAGGACCCGGCCCTCCAGCATCCTGCCCACGGCCAAATACATGCGTGAGGCCCTCTGTGGAGGAAGGCAAAGGTGGGGGGGGGAAGGAGGAGGAGGAGGGGGCCAACGGAGGAAGACCGAGGAGGGAGGAGGGAGGGAGAGCGACGGAGGGACGAGGGACGCGGGACAAGGGTTGGATTGGACACGTCGGGAGCGAGGCTGGGCCATCCAGCAACGGAGGATGGAGAGCCGACCCTGCACCGCTAAGCGGCACAGGGCCTCCCTCCAAACAACATGCCAGAGGACCCGACCTAGAGAGAACAACCGCGATGAGCCCCACGCAGTGCAAAGCAGGGGCAAGCAAGCGGTAGGCTACAAACCAGTTCCATTGGTTGCCACCGCTGGCCACGACGAAGGGTCGCGGGAGGGAGAGCGAGGAGGAGGGACGAGGGAGCGACGAGGAGCGACGAGGAGGGACGAGGGAGGGATGACGCGAGGGCTGTCGGCGGAGCCCCCCCCCCCCGGTGGCGCGCTGGCCTCGCGCGGCCACACCATCCGCGCACGCAGGCCCGGCACGTTCTCGGGCGTGCGGCACATGAGGGGCTGCCCGTGGTCCCAGACGCGGCCGTTCATCCTCCCCCCCGGCGAGGGGGGGGGGCATGGCAGGAGGAGGAGGAGGAGGAGGAGGAGGAAGAGGAGGAGGAGGAGGAGGAAGAGGAGGACGAGGATGAGGAGGAGGAGGAGGGGGAGGAGGGGAATCCCCATCCCCATCCCGATCTCGTTTCACCGATCCCCATCCCCAGCGGCGTGGCCCAGGCCCCACTGGCCGATTTGACCCCCTCGATGGGGATGCAGGTCGTTCCCTTCGGGTTTCAAGGGGTGTCTCCCCAACTGGGGGATAATTTGGTGGGGGTCTCGAAGGGGATGGGGATGGGGATCGGGGTCGGACAACAAACGATACTGGGGCATGGCATTGGGGCCCCTCCCCCCCCTTCTCCCACCTGCAGTGGGACCCAGGCAAGAAGAGCATCCCTCGAGTACAGGAGGCCCTCCGCCGGCGAAGACAACCAGAACATCCAAGAGAGCACCCTCCCCCTAGGATGCACAAGAACATCCAACAGGCACGGAGAACATTGGGGCACCCTCCCCGAACCGGCCTCAATCTTATACCTCGGTCCGACTGTACCTCCTCCTCTTTCTCCTCCCCTTTTCCTCCTCCCTCGTCCTCCTCCTCGCTTCTCCCTCCTCCTGCTCCATCCTCCTCCTCCTCCTCCGCCTCCTCCGCCTCCTTCGTCCTCCATCGGCCTCCTCCTTCCCGCTGCTGCTCCCTCCCAGCTCCTCCTCCACCTGCACCTCCCTGCACCTCCCTGCTCATCCTCCCTCCTCCTCGTCCTCCTCCTCCTCCTCCTCCTCCTCCTCAGCCCCTCCTACTTCTCCCCCTCGTTCTTCTCCCCCCCTCCCCTCATTGTCCCGCCCCCTCACTCTCCTCTGCTTCCTACCTGCTGCCTCCCTGCACCCTCCTCTTCCTCCTGCTGTTGGCCAACTCTCGTCTGCTTCCCCCCTGCTCCCTGCTATCCCCCGGCCTCCATCACTTCCCTCCTCCCACCTCCTCCCACCACCTCCTCCTCCTTCTTTGTCCTCTCACCACCTCCCTCCTCCCCCCTCCCTCCTGCCTCCTCCTCCGACCTCCTCCGCCCTCCTCCGTCCTCCATCCTCCTCAATCCTCCGTCCTTCTCCCCCTCCTCCTCCTCCTCCTCCTCCTCCCCCTCCTCCCCTTCCTCCCACCATGGACCGGGACTGGTGGAGCAGCTCCGCCGCACAAGCGCGGTCCAGAAAGTGGCCGCGCCGTCGCGCCGCGGGCAGAGCAAACCTCCTGCCAGAGCGCCCACCGTCTCCGCGGAGTCGACGCCCGCCCAGCCTCGAGTGTTGCTAGAAGTGCCCCTGGCCCGAAGTGCGCTCCATCTTGGAACCCCTGGGGCCTTCTGGGCCTCGTGAGGCGTGCTCAGGAGGCCGTGGGGGTCTCATTGGAAATCCTGGGGGCACTCCTTGGACCAGGGGCACTTCTAGCAACACCCGACAATCTGCTCTGCGACTGTTGCCGGGGATACTCGAGGCCGAGATCGGGGCCATCCCGAAGATTTCAGCGGCATGTGGGGATGCAGCGCCTGAGAGGACGTCGTGAGTGCGACGAAGAACGGTGCAGATGGGCGGAGATGAAAGACACGGGAAGCCGGAATGGACCGCAGTGAACCAAGTCGGGCCAGACTCAGCCTGGTGGGGCCTGTTTTTCGGGCCGGGCGAAAGGGGGGGATAGCAAAAGGGGGGTCTGAGAAAATCAGCTCACGTAGCTGATTTTCCTTGCGCCTCCCGGCGCCGGAGGCGCCCATGTATCGAGGCATGGGCCCCTCGGTGGGGCCGAAACCAGCTGCATGCAGCAGACTTCGTACCCCCCCCTTTCCCAATCCCCCCCTTCCGTCCGGCCCGAATCGAGCCGGGCAGCGTCCGGCAGAACGCCTCCTCCCTCGGCGGTCGACAAACCTCCCTTTGGCAAACCTCCCCTGAGTGAAAACGGCCTGGGACCGAAACCGACGGACCTGGACCCGCAAGAATGACGGCCGCGGCGCCCTCTCGCGAACCGAAAGCGGCCAATTCGCGGATCGACGTGTCCGGGTAGGAGGTCTGTCCACACCCGACTCCCTCGGGGGCTGCCACAGGAGTGCGGGCCCCAAGAGCCCAGAGCTCCGACGCTCCCCAGAAAAAGACTGGAGAGGGCGGACATGCCCGAAGAGTCTTCGGCCTCCGGGGGGGCCCTCGCCGGGCCTCGGGGCCCCCTCTCGCTCGGCCCGAGATTTGCGCAGATCCTCCTCGATTCTCCTCCTCCTCCTCCTCCCCCTCCTCCTCCTCCTCCTCCTCCTCGAGCCTCGAGCCTCGAGCCTCGATCCTCGATCCTCGATCCTCGATCCTCTCCCTCCTCCTCCTCCCCCTCCTCCTCCTCTTCCTCCTCTCCTCCTCCTCTCCTCCTCCCTCTCCTCCTCTCCCCTCCTCCTCCTCCTCCTCCTCGAGGGGGGGGGTCTGGGACGGCCAGCACGTGGCCGGGGGGGGGGGGGGCGCGCGGAGGCGGCCGCCGCGCGCCGCCCGCGCGCCCGCTGCTCTCTCCGGGGGGCGGCGGCGCCTCCGAGGCGTTTTTTGATCTTCGCTCGGGCGTCTGCGCTGATGTTTTCCCTCGGCGGGGGCCATCGAGGAGCACCACTGATCCTCTGGGGAAAAATCTCCTCCTCCACCGCCTCCTCCTGCTCCTCCTGCTCCTCCTCCTCCTCCTTTTCCTCCTCCTCCTCCTCCTTCTCCTCCTGATCCTCCTCCTCCTCCTCCTTCTCTCCTCCTCCTCCTCCTTCTCCTTCTCCTCCTCCTGATCCTCCTCCTCCTCTTCCTTCTCCTCCTCCTCCTCCTCCTTCTCCTTCTCCTCCTCCTTGTCCTCCTCCTCCTCCTCCTCCTCCTCCTCCTCCTCCTCGACCTCCAAGGGGCTGCAAACTCAGCACCGGGACGCCGTCCGAGACCATCCCCGGCCACCCGCGGCTACCCGAGGCTGCCCGGGTAGCCGCGCGGACGCCGCGTGAAAGGCACGTATCGGGGGGAACGATAAGGGGAACCCGGCTCGGAGGGGAACCGCGGCTACCCGCGGCTACCCTCAGGCTGCCCTGGTCCGCGCGGACGCCGCATGAAAGGCACGTGTGGTGGGGAACGGTAAGGGGAACCCGGCTCGGAGGTGGGGGGGACATCGAGCTCGAATCAGCGCTACATCGCCGATAGATCGGCGATGGGCCCCCGATGGCGCGTCCGCACGCTTCTGGGCGGGGCGGCGTCATCAGGCCCCCATCGGCAACGAATGGGCGGTCGGGGGCCGATGCAACGCTCTCTGAGCCTATCCCCCCGAACGTTGACACTGAGTAGTGCGGCAATCCACAAGACGAAGGTCGTCCCCTGCGAGGTCTGCGTGACGGAAATCTGGGTCAGCGCATCCCTGAAGGGCACTCGGCAGCCAGACAGACCCACGGATCGATGCAAAAGGCAGTGGAGCGCTTCCGCCGCACTTTCCTGCCCCGTCCCCCGCGCGAGAGTGGCGCTTCGGCCGAGGATGAAGCCAATAAGCCAGATTCATTCGGCTTCGGCCAAAGATTCAACTGGTCTGAGTGGCAGTGAGCGGGATCATCCTGGATTGGGCCGGTTTTCGACCACGGATATTCCAGCAATCGCCGATGCTGGATCGAACCTCGCGGGAACTGCATCCTGAACGCGGTGCCCATGCCGCTGGAGAATTGCGCCTCCCTCCCGCAGTCCTGCCGCTCCCTCGGGGGCGTCCAATGTAGGGGAAGAAACAATAGCACAAACATGATAACTCGGAGGTCCGCGCGGATTCCTCGGATCGGCACTGGTGCCCCCCGGCGCCCGCCGCCTCCGGCGCCGCCCCTGGCGCGCTCCGCGCCCCATGAAGGGGGATCCAGCGCCGATCCGAGAAATCCGCGCGGACCATGTTTGTGCCACTTGGTGTCCCCGTGCGAAAGGAAGGGGGCGTCCAAGAGGGAGGTGCGCAAAACGTTCATGGCCCGAGGTGTGCGGACAGTGGGGCGGGGGGGCGCCAAGGGGCGTACTCAAAGACGCGGACAGGGGCCAGGAGATCCAGGAGGACATCGTGGCCCTGGCCATACGATGCAGTGGAGGCCAGTCCACAAGAAACCTTCCACAAATGACTACGTACCTGACCACCCCAACCCAACCCGAAGACCCGAATTTGACCCGAATTTCGGCTTGGGGGGTCCGGATTCCATGCGGTTTTCCAATGTTCCACGACCCTCCCCACTGGAACCTTCGAGTTGGGTTGGGGTCGTTTGGTGGGTGGTGAGCAAGAAGCCCAACCCTGAGACCCCAGGACGTCCATGGTTTTTTGGTGTGGGAGCGTCACGCTCTCCATAGCAAAACCATCGAAACCCAAGAACCCCGGGCACCCTGGAGGCAAGCAATGTACTTCTCGGCATGGGCCTCCACTGTATCCGACCACACTGGTGATCACCCCCCTCTTGGCCGCCCCCGAAGAGCACACTTGGTGCCCATCTCGGTGGCACCGAGGGGGGTTGGGCGTTGCTTCACACCGAAAGGAGCCCAGAATCGGATCGATACATCGGATCGGCGATCAAAACGAATCGGGCCGGCGGAAATCGGCAGCCTAGCCGGCGGAATTTGGCAGGCTAGAAGGCATCCATCGAGACGTCGGAATCCATCTCGGAACCCCAAGTCGAATCGAATCGGAATCGGAGGCCACCGACATCGAATCGAATCGAACAAGAGGAACGTTCCCTGCTCCCCGGGGATGGGCGCTGCCTCATCGCCCCTCCCCCCTTCCCGCAACGCCCGAAAAGGGGGAAACCAAAAATGCACCGCTACCGCTACTCCCTGGAACTTTCCCTGGGTGCGCTCTGACCAGAACCTCGAGGCGAATACAGCGGTGGCGACGATGGCCTCCCAGGAAGCCCAAGAAGGGGATGGCGAGGGAAGGGTAGCAGTACGGGTAGCAAGAGCTGGAGGAGGAGGAGGAGGAGGAGGAGGAGGAGGAGGAGGGAGGAGGAGGAGGGGATGGGGGG